CGACATGGTCATCGACGACAAATCTCCTGACGCCACCCCCACCAACATCGATGTCGAGAATCGTGCAGATTAACCTGAAGCGCAGCTCGCACGCTTCAGCTAATCTCACGATTCTTCTAAGGGACATCGGCATCGACATCGGTCTGATACAGGAGCCTTGGACCAGGGACGGGCAAGTCGCTGGACTGAGAATCCAAGGATACACACTACTGTGCACAAACTCGAATGGTAGGTCGAGAGCTTGCATTGTAATCAAGAATCATTTTAACGCTTTTCTCTGTCCCAATCTCAGCACACCTGACCTAGCAGTGGCCAGATTCGTGGCGGCGGATGGGAGCGGAGTCACCATATCATCTGCGTACATGGCCCATGACGAGCCGGCCCCGCCTGAGCCGGTAGTCAAGCTGCTGCAATGGGCGGAAGCGACGAAGGCGACCCTGGTGCTCGGGTGTGATGCGAACGCGAGGCACACGCTCTGGGGTAGTTCGGAGACTAACGAAAGAGGTGAGTCACTCTTTGACAATCTTATATGTAGGAACGTAACGATATGCAATAAGGGTAATACCCCGAGCTTTATCTTTCCGAGCACGAAAAATTTTCAAGGTTGGGAAGAGGTGTTAGACCTCACATTACATATAGAACAAAATAATTACAGGGTCGAGAACTGAAGGGTATCAACAGAACACTCCTTCTCAGACCATAGATACATTTTCTTTGAAATAACGACACCAGATAAGAAAAAGGTGCCAAGAAGAAACCCCCGTAAGACGGATTGGAACAATTTCAGCGAAATTGTCCAATCTAAAGTAAACGGCAGGAGGATCAAGACAATATCCACTGCAAAGGTACTCGACAAGGAGGTTTAGGAACTAACAAATATTCTGAACAACGCCTTCAAAGAGACTTGTAAGCTAACATTCTCGAAGAAGCAATACCCACCGTTGTGGACAAAGGAATTAAGCGAGCTCAGGAAGAGTGCGAGAAAGTCCTTTAACCACAGCTATGTAACCCGGGATTGGGGAACATACAAAGAGGCACAAAAAATTTACAAGAAGGCAGTATACAAGGCCAAAAAAGAGTCGTGGCAAAACTACTGCGAGTGACTGGAACGTATAAAGGACACGGCAAGAGTAAGCAAAATTCTCGCCAAAGGGCACATAAGCCCTACCCTCATCAACAGGACAGACGGCTCTGCTACGACGACAATTGAGGAGTCACTAGAGCTACTAGTTGACACCCATTTCCCAGGAAGCCTAAGAGTGAGCTCGGAACCCGAAGAGGGAACGAACTCTCAAATGGACACACCTACGAAAGACATCATTCAGTGGGCAATAGATTCTTTCGATAAGTATAAAAGCCCGGGCCCAGACGGCTTAATACCGGCAATGCTAAAATCAGCTATGGATGGTATTTGCAAATGGCTAAAAGCCATTTACGAAGCTTGTTTAAGACTAACGCACGTCCCACTGCTGTGAGGGAGAGAGGCTAAAGTCATTTTTATGCCGAAACCGGGCAGAAGGGGGCACATCTTAGCAAAGGATTACAGGCCGATAAGTCTCACCTCCTTCACCCTAAAGACACTAGAGAGACTCCTGGACGTCCACATCCGAGAGTCTCTAGAAGGACATCAACTCTCAGATGCGCAGCATGCGTATCGCAGGGGAAAATCAACGGAAACAGCGCTACACGTAGTTGTACATCATGTCGAGAAGACATTACAACACAAACAATACACGATGGCAGCCTTCCTAGACATCGAAGGCGCGTTCAATAACGTGAACCCCGACTCTATCCTGGGCTCCCTCAACTTGCTAGGTATTGAGAGAGGCATCAGAGAGTGGATCGGGGTGATGCTAAAGAGCAGAACGATCACAGCCGAACTGAGTGGCACTCACCTCACGCGGACTGTGAAGAGAGGCACACCTCAGGGCGGGGTACTATCGCCCCTACTCTGGCTCACAAATATGAACGCCATATTGACAGATCTTAATACGGGTAGAGTCAAAGCAGTTGCATACGCGGACGACGTAGTACTGCTAGTATCAGGACCATACCCTGACGTTATTAGCGAAATAATGAGGGTGCGCTAGGTCGCTTAAACAAATGGGCAGAAACATGCGGACTAGGTATCAACCCCACTAAAACGGAACTTATGCTCTTTACACGAAGAACTAAGATACCACCCTTCAACATGCCCAGCATTAGCGGCATGGAGCTAAAACTATCGGAGCGAGCGAAGTATCTAGGAGTTATTCTGGATAAAAAGCTCTCATGAAAAGATAACATTGCAGAAAGAGTAAGGAAAGCAAGCATTGCATTCTACTCCTGCAGGAAAATGTTTGGGAACAATTGGGGACTGCACCCAAAGATAATTTAATGGCTCACTCTGCATTGGTACGGCCAATTCTAATTCTAATTAACACAAACGTTAAGACCGACTACATGATCGCGGAAATGAAATTCGGGAACGCATTCTCGACATCATACCCATCAAGGGATGACTGGAGTAGGGGCAGAGTAGTAGTGGAGAACGAGGTGTCCCTCTACACCGATGGCTCAAAAATGAGCTCCGGCGTAGGGGCTGGGATCTTCGCTGAAAATTGGGGAATTGAAAAGGCTTTCAATCTCTCTAACTCAGCAACGGTCTTTCGGGCTGAGCTACTAGCCATAAGGAAAGCAGTCGAACTTTCCTTAAGGCAGGACCTCAGGGGCAAAAGAGTTCGAATCTACTCGGATAGCCAAGCGGCTATAAAATCCCTATCTGCCTTGAAAACGAACTCACGACTAGTGGTAGAATGCAAAAAGGCCCTTAATAGACTTGCCGACAAAAATAAGGTACAAGTAACATGGGTACCGGGACACAACGAGATCCCAGGTAATGAGAAGGCAGACGAACTAGCCCGTGCAGGCTCGGCGGGGCTAAGTTCTGACTTCGAATTACCAATCTCCCTAAACGCGATCCAGACAAGGATCCATGACCACTTTAGACAGATAGCTAATAAAGAATGACAAAGAAAGAGCGATCACAGAGGGTCAAGGGAATGTTGGCCGAGGTACGACAAGAAACGAACCAGGGAACTGCTATCCAACAGCAAGCGGGATATCAGCAGGTTCACGGCACTCACCACGGGACAATGGGCGATCGGTTCGCACGCAATGAAGTTGGGACTGCCATACAACGCAACCTGTAGAAGCTGTAAGCAACCTACAGAGCAAAAGACACCGGAACATCTGCTCTGCTTCTGCCCAGCGTTAAACCACATCAGATTTCGCCACTTCGGTGCCTACCAGATGGAGTCACTGAGAAACATAGGAAAGCTGAAAATTTCAGCAATCCTAGGTTTCCTTGCTGACTCTAGATGGTACTGATAGTGAATAACAAAAAAAAACAGAGGGAGTGGAACAAATAGGAGCTTAGCTCTAATTGGAGGCCCCAGCAATGGGCCTCACCACTTTAACCTACCTACCATAACCCCTTAATCTTGCGTTTTCACCTCTCGTCAACTGCGGTTCGGTCTGCCACTGCGTTCGGCTTTCCCATAAGATTCCATGACATTTGCAACCGTATTTAGCTGTCTTGAGACTTGGCAAGATATTTCTAAAATGTTTCCGTCACTTTCTCTAAATCCCATAAGAAAACCGCGCAATTAATATTTAAAAAAACATTCAAATTGCACCAATTTGCTGAAAAAAAATATCAATCTAATTGACAATTGCGCACAAACTAATGATTCACATATCGTTCTTTCAGAAGAACTCTAAACCGGCAGTGCTAAGAATTATGAGCATATAAGAATTTTGCACGCAAGAGAAGAATATGGTATAAAATATAATATTAGTTCACAAGCAGTAAAAATTATCATACACATATACTTATTTACCTGAGGTGTTCAGATAAGCCGAAAATTAATAACCGTTGCATTTGCCGATTTAATGTCCGTTTGTCCGATTTTATGCAAACTAGCCCCTTAAATTTAAGGCTAAAATGCTTTATCTAAAAGTAACTTTGCAGTAAGTCTTCTGTATAAGTCGGAATAGGTCAGATCGGACGACTATATCATACAGCATCTTAGAAAAAAATTATAACTTAAGATACAGCCGTTGTAATACATATAAATGCAGAGAAAAATGCAAAACTGTAAATTTAAAACTGCAGCTGTGAAACTGTAAATATAATACTTATAGGGGAATATAATTAAATTACACATTACTTTGTTGTTTTTTAACACAAATATACATTATTTATATTGTATTAATGATTGAAGATTCTATTGCAATGTGCAAGGGTATACGATAGGGCGGCTCGATTTCTAGGGGGTCAAAAAATCGATTACATATGATTTTTGGATTCTAGGGATCAAAATAAGAAAATTTACTCAGGAAACCATACCTCTACAAGGAATTTTGATGTCCCTTGTTTTTCTTATTTTGATCCCCAGAAGCCGAAATCATATGTGCCTAAGCGATTTTTAAATCGACCCACCCTAGTACACAAACTTTTTATAAGTTAAATATGAAAAATGATTAAACTTTCAATTGAAAATTATGATGCGTTTTAAATCTTTATTTGTAGTGATCAGCAGCACTCTGCAGTGGTTAAGGAAAAAAGTATCTGCAACAAAAAACTAAATGATCAAAATTAAACATTTAAATGAAAATACATTTACTTAAACAATACAAAAAAAAAAAAAGAAATTAAACTGAACAAGATTTAAGGGCACACAATTGAAATCGACTGAACAAAAAAAAATCAATAGAGTAATAATTAATTGTTAAACAAAAAGATTCAAGTAAGTTAAATTAAAAAGTAAACCAGAAACAACAACTAGGAAGGAACACGTGCACGGTAACTTTATTAAACAATTTATTTCACTAATTTATGATCGACCTGTTTTGAGAAGTAGGGACAAATAAATTATTGTATTAATGGTATATTATTAATGGTAGAATTAAATTTAATGACAATACGGTAAAATATGATACAATTTGTTTTTATTTACCTGTAATATATTCAGACGATATTCAATAACATTTATTTTTCCATCAGATCCATTTAACACAGAAAAGATATGCTCTAATAACTCTTTTACTATAATGCAATCGGAGCATTTCATGGACATTCGTTTTAATGATTCAAGGGACTCGCGGCGTGCTGTATCCGTGTTACTGTATAAATTTTTTATTAGAATATTTCCCATTTTCTGGGCATAAGGGCTGCAGTCAAAATTAACCATGTCAAATATTAGACCAATAGTTTCAAGTGTATTTTCGGGACTGCGTAAAATTGACCTTTGCAAAGGGGATATATAAATGAATCAAACTCAGATTCGGTAAGCGATTCCAATAGAGGACGGCATGCCTTGATTAATGCATTATCTGGCTTATATTTGCATGAAACCATACTCTTGACGAAGTATTCAGATAACTTTTCAGTATATTTATTTAAAATAAAAGACTTCTCGTTTTTAGATTCAAACTGAACCATGGTCATTAAAATAATAGTAATGTTGGTCGTAGCTTCCATTTGAAATAAAATGTCCAAGGTTTCATTAAAAATTGTAATATTTTCCCATAATTCATATAATATTTTAGTTCTTGCATCTGTAATTCGTTGGTACGAAGACAGTAAAGTGCTTTGGAATAACAATGACTGATATTCAATTAACCTTTTTTTTTCTGACTTGTAGATATTGGAGTCCCGATTAGCTGATTTCTCTATGAGACAAATCCATCCCAAAGCAATAAGAGCCGATTTGCATGTCTTTTGAGGCGAAACACCCGCAAATTCTTTGAATAAAATGGCTTTAAAGACGTTTAGCATATGTTCTATGGTTAAATCATGATGAACGCATAAGAGATCAACAATGAGCTCCCGAACTATTCGCTGAGATGGAAGATCCTTGTATTTGGTTATCGTTGTTGCTATGACTTTACATATGCCACGTATTACTGCTGAAGTTATACCTATAAGAAAATAAATACTATTACTAATTTAAATTTTTAACTTATGTTCTTAATTACTATTATTTTATTAATTTAGGTATTTAGAAAAGACGCACAAATACATTTTGTTCGTGTGACATATTATATTTATGACCAAAAAGTCTGATTTAAAACTAGTTTGAAGAGAACCATATCATTAGGGATATTGTCTATTACCATTGTCATCATTTAAATAATAATTTACAGGCCGAAAACATGAAAAAAAAGAAATGTTACTTCGGCACGCCGAAGTTTGACTACTTTTCCAGTTTTAAATTAGATTAATACGAAACGATACATTTTGGTCCAATAAAAGAAAAATAAGAAAAAAAGCTAACTTCGGCACGCCGAAGTTCATATACTGTTGCCGTTTGCAATTCGATCATTAACAATTAATATAATATAAATAATAAATATGTTTTAAAAACACCGAAGAATCGCCTGCTTTAATTACAATCACCTATACTTATTGTATTTCAAATTCTACTTTCACAGTTTGTCATTTTCCCTTACATTTAACAATAGTTTCTCTATAGTCACCGGATTTTCAGAAAATTAAAACTAAAATGCTGAAATAATATATATATATAATAATAAAATAGCTGTCAAATTAGATAAGGCCAGTTAAGATAAGTATGCTCTGGACACTCTAATTGAGATGTTACGCTCTCTCAAGAGAGAGCATGAGAGAGCGACTGGCTGAAAATGAGGGTTGTTTGAGTAGATGCTGAGAGCGGCAGATCACTTGGTGAGAGGATCTGAACGAGAGTAGACGTAAATAAGACAAGAAGTGTAAAGACAAGTGTGAAGAAAATATAAAACCAAGTATAAAAAGTTCTAAATTAAATAATAAAGAAAATATTAATAAGAGAAGAAAAGATTAAGAAGTGTTTAAAACTAAAAGGCGGCTACAAACATCAGAAGTGGGATTCGGAATCAAAAATTTTCTCATCTTTTGGAAAACTAAAATAAAATAATGGATTTGAACACAGCGGATATAACGGTTGTGCAATTAAAACGGTGGTTGAACCTGTTTAATTTGCCCACGAAGGGCACAAAAGCGGAGCTGTTCGCAAGGCTAGCCAAGGTCCCGATTGGAATTCGAGGCAGTGATCCGGAAGAGTGTGTGGAGATGGAAAAGCTAGGTGGCACGGACGTGGAAAGCGACGGTGAGCTGGAGATCGCCAAAGAAACTCTTTGAGAATTGCGCGAGGAAACTGCCAAGGCGAGAAAAATTCTGGCAAATTTGAATCGCCAGATCGGCGCAAATGTCGGCGGCAGCCAGAGCAACGAAGACGACGGGAATGGAAGAGACGAAAATGCTCGAATTCGGCATGGCTCCGAGAAGGCAGGACAGCTAGACGTTGGAGTTGGCGACAGTGGCGGGCGACGAAACAACAACGCCAACAACACCAGATCCGAGAACTTTGAACAGCTACCTACCAGAAGTTTCCAGAACACGCAACGAGGCGAGGGCAGAGGCGACGTACAGCGAGATGGCGAAATGGCAACAGACAGTTTCGCATCACCTGGTTTTAACATGGCCAGAGAAATGCTAATGGACTTCGGCAGAAAGGTGTGTGTGCGATCGTGGATTGACCAGTGGGACAGTATTTCGGCCCTTCATAGATTAACAGACATGCAGCGGCGAATTTTGTTGATCAGCAAACTTAAGGGAGATTCCTTACAATGGCTGCATCCTGAGACCGGACGGTTGGCGAAGCCGATGGACGAGCTCATCGAAGAACTTAAGCTAGCTTTTGGGGGCATTGAATCAAAAGCGGCATTAAGGCGCAAGTTTGAGGCACGCGTCTGGTCCCCGGATGAACAATTTGCGATGTACTTTGAAGAGAAGTGCAGATTGGCTCGGGATCTGGCGATAGAAGAAGATGAGCTGGTGGATGGGCTCGTAGAGGGCATTCCATTACCAAGTCTTCGAATGCAGGCTAAAATGCAATGTTTTGATGCCCCGAGGAGAATGTTGCGAGCGTTTGCGGACATCAAGCTGCCAGCAAGGGCGTCAATGAAGGCGAAGGCGTCGGCAGCAAAGGCGGTTTCGACGAATAATGAAACTCGATGTTTCAACTGCAACGGCAAGGGGCACTGGAAGTGGGAGTGCACCAAGCTAAAGCGAGAAACTGGTTCGTGTTATCATTATCATTATCGTTCATCACCGAATTGCTGTATGTCCCCAGAATAAGAAGGAGGTGGAAAACAACTATGTAAGAGTATTCAAAATTTTTTGTGTGGAAAATACGAACCAGCCTATTATTAAAGAGTGCCAAATAGATTCGGGAAGCCCAGTTTCGCTCATAAAACGTCCTTGTATACCGAAAAACATTAAGTTAGAACCTCTAAGAGAAAGTTATTTTGGATTAAACAAAAGCTTATTGAAAAGCTATGGAAAAATATTATGCTCTGTATTAAAAAATTAAATAAAGATTTGGTTTAAATTAATTGTTGTGGCTAGCGAATCTATGCTCTGTAACATTGTGCTGGGGAGAGATTAGAGAGAGAATAGAGAATTATATTGCGAAAGTTTAGTAAGTGAAATTTTAGTGGACAAAAATTTAGATAAAGGTAGTTTTAGTACAGATTTAGATCAAAAAGATGTAGGTACAAGTTTAGGAGAAAATAGTCTAGGTACAAGTTTTGGTGAGAACAGTTTAGGTACAAATTTAGGAAAAAATGGTTTATGTACAAGCTTAGGTGAATGTTTAATAGAAAATAATTTAGGTACATATGTTATACGGGAACAAACTTTAGGTACAAAAGGGTTAGGTGAGTTATTTGCGAGCTCTGGTTTCTACGGATGCCCATGGGTCTTAAAACAGCCCCACAGGTATTCCAGAGATTCGTCAATGACATATTTTTGGACATGATAAGAGAAAAGAAGGTAATCATATACATGGACGAAATTTTAGTTGCAAGCAAAGTTTAGAAGAACACTTAGATGTTTTAAAAGAAGTATTTAGAAGGTTAGTAGAAAACAAGTTAAAATTGAGAATGGATAAATGCAAATTTGTACAAGACAAGGTCAAATATTTAGGTTTTCTAATTTCAAAAGATGGGATTAAAGCTGATAGCAAGGGGTTAGAAGCTATACAAAATTTTCCGATTCCAGGCAAGGTGCAAGCAGTTCAAAGCTTTTTGGGTCTTTGTTCGTATTTTCGACGATTCATAAAGAATTTTTCTATATTAGCGAAACCATTATATGATTTATTGAGAAAGGATAGGCTTTTTAGGTTTGAAGAAGAGTTGAATTGTTTTTCGCTTTTAAAGGCGAAGTTAATGGAAGCGCCAGTGTTAGCTTTATATGATTACAGAGATGATTTCGAACTTCACTGTGATGCAAGTGCTTTAGGATTTGGGGCTTCAGAAAAAAGATGACAGCCGGTTACATCCTATTTTCTATTTTTCGAAGAGATCAACTTCAACGGAAGCGAAGTGTCACAGTTTTGAATTGGAGACTTTAGCTATAATTTACGCGTTAAGAAGATTTAGAATATATTTGCTAGCCAAACGATTTAAAATTGTAACAGACTGTAACTCTCTAACTTTAACCCTCAATAAGATTGAGTTCAACCCAAGAATAGCAATAGCAGGTTGGCTCTAGAACTGCAGGAATTATTATGAATTAAAGCACAGAGCAGGTAGTCAAATGCAACATGTAGATGCATTGAGTAGATGCAACAATATTATGATAGTGGAGGCAAATACATTCGAAACAATTTTAGTAATTTGTCAATCAAAAGATGTAAAGGTTCAGGAAATTAGGAAAATGTTAGAAAGTAGCGAGCATAAGTTATATGAAATGAGAAATGGTGTGATCTATAGGAAAAGCAATGAAAACAGATTATTATTTTACGTACCGAATCGAGTGGAGGAACATGTGCTATACAAGTATCATGATGAATTGGGTCATATTGGGAGGGACAAAATGTTAGAAGATATTGGGAAGAGCTATTGGTTTCCACGCATGAAAGATAAAGTCGTAGAACACATTCAAAATTGTTTAAAGTGCATAGCGTATGCTCCGAAAGTAGGTAGAGGAGAGGGACATTTACATAGCATACCAAAAGGCAACAAACCTTTTGAGATCATTCATATAGATCATTATGGGCTGTAGATAGTAGCAGAGCAAAAAAACATATATTGTGGTCGTAGATGCTTTTACAAAGTTTGTTAGGTTGTACACAACAAAAACTACGAATACAAAAGAGGTGATAAGTGCATTAACAGATTATTTTCGAGCTTATAGTATACCTAGATGCATAGTATCAGATCGGGGCAGTTATGAAGCATATAAAAATAGCGACGGGGTCGCCGCAGGCTAATGGCCAAGTTAAACGAATCAATAGAAGTCTAGGACCTATGATAGCAAAATTGATAGAACCGGAAAAGTGATTACATTGGGATAGAGTTATGGAAAAAGTAGAGTATGCAATGAATAATACGATTCATAATAGTACCAAGCAGTGTCCTAGTGAAACATTATTTGGGAGAGATGAGAAGTTTTGGATAATATAAAAGAAAGATTAGAAGACAAAGATGAAGTAGAAAATGTTAGAAAAACTTAAGAAGATGTTAGAAAAGAAGCAGAAGAGGAACAAAAAAAAGTCTCAAATAAAGAATGAAAAATATTATAATGCAAAAAAGAAAATTGCTACAGAATATAAAGATGGAGATTGTGTTATGGTAAAGAATTTTGATAGCACTGTAGGAGCTTCGAGAAAACTCATTCCAAAAAATAAAGGTCCTTATGTAATTGATAAAGTGTTAAAAAATGACAGATATTTGCTTAAAGATATTGATGGGTTTCAGTTGTCTCTCAATCCATATCAAGGTGTTTGGAGTGCAAATAATATTAGACATTGGTTAAAATTATAATTAAGATAGTAAACTAAGAATTGAATTGTAAATGAAAGAAACAAATTGTAAATTATAATTAAGTTATAACACTAAGCAGAGATAGAGGGCTA